AAAAATGAAATATATTATATGGAAAACTATCCATCTTAATAATTCTTTGGCCATATGATACTTTTATCATGGAAATATGTTCAAATATGAATTAGTGTTAGAAAAGAGACAAGGAAATGTTTATTCATATACTGTGAAGAATCAGTTGGCAAACATTGTGGGAAGGATATTAGATAGATTAATCTAAATTCTAAATATGTATATCCTACAGAGCAATAATTCTCATTCCAGGAAATATACCCTTCAGGAGTAATTCCTGTGTATACAAATGTGTGTATGGGTATATGTGTGTACACTGCTGTTTTATAATGAATAAATAGCTTGATATCATCATGCTTCCTGGAAGCTCAGTCCACATGGACAGGTAAATGCTCTGGCCAGCATCCAGCATCCACTGATGCTGAGTAAAAACACCTATTAGTGATTCCATCCCCACACTGTTGAGTTGTCTCAGCTATTGGATCTCACAATTAAGCCATAGACATCATAAATCAGAGATAATTTATCCCTACTTTTGCCTTGTCTAATTTCTAGCATATAGAATGAGCAAAACAAGATGGTATTTCACATGACTATGCTTTCATTTTTCACACAGCCTTAGTAACTAGGTCAATGTAGCATTTGTTAAGTAAAGTATGGCACATCTATAAAATGACCCAGAACATAGCTATTAAAAAGTCTTAAGATGGGGTTGATTTAGAATAATACATATGACTCTAGTGTGTGAGCATGAGAAAGATAAACACTGCACTTAGGAACTTTCTAGAAAGCAATTTGGCAGTAGATTAAGAGCAGTAAAAATGTCCAAATACAACTTGACCCAATAATTCCTTTTATAGGAATAGATTTTACATTTAAATTTTTTTAATTTAAGAATAAATAAATCCAAGAATTTCTGCTTGAAAAGGTCAACAGAAATAAATATGCAAAAAAGAAAAATAACATAAGTCCTAACATAACAAGAATAGTCAAATAACCAAAGACTCAGAGACGTTTTTAATTGAATTATTGTGTGTTTCATACAGAACATCTTAATCATCTTTATACCCCCTTCCTCACTGGCTTCCTCACAAGCACCCCCCCCACTGGAATTCATGCAGACTATCATTTGTGTTAAGGCCTATCATGTCAAGTGAGTGTTCCCAGACGTCCCTTAGTGCAAGTTCATCCACTGAGGTCTAGTCAGCCTATCTAGATTCCCTTCCTTTAAGATGATCAGCTCTTCCTCACCCAGAAGTAATCAGCTGCAAAATTTTTTGACTAAGATTAGATCCTGCTGTTCGTTTCCACAGTTCTGTGTTGGATTTTTGTCTGCTTGAGTTTGCATGGTTCTGTGCATGCTGATACCATTGCTGTAGGTTCATATGAGCAGGGTCCCAGAAGCCTGTAGGACTCTATTTCCATATGGTCATGCACCTCCTTCCTGGCTCTTACAATCTTTCTCCCCCCTCTTCCGCAATAGTCCCTGAACCCCAGGTGAGTAGAGTTGACCCACACTCTGCAAACTCTTTTTCTCAATGCTTTGACCTATGCTTTTGTGTTCCTGATCCTCTGTTGCATGAGGGGGCTTCATTGATGAGAACCAAGATATGCATTAATGTTTTCTTTACCCCTTGTTCTATGTTCCATGAACCTTAGGTGTAGAAGTTGCATTGTAGATGTGCCACTTAGGCTTGGGCAATTCACAAAGTCTGTGTATGACCAATTGTGGAACTGTGTAATAATCTCTGTTGCAAAAGAAGCTTCTTTGATGAGTGGTGACTGGGATACTTGTCTGTAAATATAAGGATCCATATTATGCACATAACAAGAAATTACATTTGCCTAGGGCTGTGACAGCCTTAAGGTTTTCTCTAAGATCTATGACCTCTCCAGCCACATGTATTTTTACACATGGCTATGTTTACAGTACCACATATGAGTTTCCTCCCATTGAGTGGGTTTTAAGTCAAATTAGGTAGCTGTTGATTACTCCCAAGATAAAAGTGCGACTACTGCACCAATGTCATTTTCTGTGCTGGTCATTGATGTGGTTATTATGCCTTAAAGCTGGGGTTGGACAACTGATTGATGTTCTCCCTTAGAGCTTGCATGGTACTGTACAAAGCTATGAGGGCTAGCCTTCAGGGAAGGTAGCTTTCAGGTCAGTTCCAGCTCCGTTGCTCCAAATCCTGTGTCTGAAGTATGTCCTGTCTTCAGCAATAATGTTTTACCTTCAAGTTCTGGGAGGCATCCAAGGGCTATGGTAATAGCCTGTGTAATATTGGGAGTCTCTTGGATCACCCTGGCCAACAACTCAAAGGAAGGTTTGTCCTGCCTGGCACTGTTCCTCATTATGTAGTCTTCAGCTATACACATGGACTCATGTAGAGATATTGTATGTGTCATTTTTCAGTAGGTTTTTGGATTAATATGATTCCCTCTGGGATATATATATATAGAAGAAGCATTTCATTACAACAGCATTAACTTATTCAATAACATTTTTCTGAGCTAGGGTACATCTCTTTCAAAATTGGCTGTACATTTCTAGGTTTACAGATGAATTATTACGCTTATATAATGTGCGTGCATGCACACACACATACACACACACACACACAAATCAATAGATAAATAAATTATTAAATTTTAAATATTTTATTTATTTTTATTTTATGTGTATGAGTGTATTGCCTGCATGTATGTAAGTGCACCCATGTTCTGCAATGCCTACAGAGGTCAGAAGAGGGCGCCAGATCCCGTTGAACAGCTGATTGTTGGCCACCACATAGGTTCTGGGAAATTGAACTCAGGTCCTCTCTAACAGCAGACAGCACTCTTAACTGCTGAGCCATTTCTTCAGTCCCATTTAATATTCTTTAAAAGAGAATTTTTTAAATATTTTATTATTTTTATTTTATGTGTATGAGTGTTATGACTGTATGTAGGTAAGTGCACCTGTGTTGTGCCATGCCTGCAGAGGACAGAAGAGGCTGTCGGATCCCCTGGAGTTGGAGACAGTTCTTAGCTGCCATGTGGGTGCTGGGATTCAAACTTCTCCAGCCCCTGAGAATTTTTTTTTAGTATAATTTTATGCCAACCAAAAGAAATTTTAATTCTGATTATTATCCTAAACTAACCCTTGAGAAAAATTAGTCTGTACCTCACAGAAATCAATTTATTAATGAACACCCTTTAAACTTTGTTCAAATATTTATCAGTTCTAAGAACTTGCAAACTTGTTTTAGCTGTAAAACTCAGTTTGAAGAAAATTGCCTTTTCAGTGATTGCATTTAAAAAATAGAATAAAAAAGAAATGGCCAGGTGTGTTGGTACAAATCTTTAATCCCATCACTAGGAGGCAGAGACAGATGGCTGTCTCTAAGTTCTAGGTGGGCCTAGTCTATATAGTGAGTTTCAGGCCAGGCAGGGCTGCATAGTGAGACCCTGTCTCTAAATAAATTAAATAAATAAATAAATAAATAAATAAATCGAAAATAGATGAGAGATGATGCTAGATAGAGAGATAGATAGATGATAGAGAGAGAGAGATAGAGAGATAGATAGATAGATAGATAGATAGATAGATAGATAGATATGATAGAAATCATAGGAAGGAATTTTCCACTTTAATGCTTTCTCAAAATATTATTTACTTAAATATTATTTTCAGTCTGGGTCTCACTTGATAATGGTATACAGGTTCAATCTTCAGCTTAGCTTATTATGGCAAAAATAGACCTGTACTGCACAGCAGATACAAAAAATTAACGCTCAGGTTGGCGACTCTAACATATTTATGTCAGATTCCATAGATGCCTGCTCTCCTACTTGTCCATTCAGCAAGACCAGCTACATAATTTGCAGGGCCCAGGGCAAAACTAAAATGTAGAACCTGTATTCCAACCTATCGAGCAGGTAGGAGCAAGCACAGGGAAGCCTCCTGATCTAAGATCCTTTTGCAAGAACTCAGGTTGCATGCCCACGAAGGCAGCCTCAGGTTTTATCGATAGTATTTATAATCTGTCAGCCTAATTGCTGGATTAGAAAAATTAGTTTTGGCAGTGTTTTCTTTTCTGAACAAAGTACACTCACTGGCTAAATCTGACAATTAAAAACTAGAGATCTGCGGTTAATCATTAATCAGCAACTCTTACACAGTTACCTTTTGAGAGTAGGAATCCCTCAGAAAACGTATAGAATTCTTACTATGTGTCCCCCACTCGGGAGTTCCAAACTATCAAAACTAGCAAGTAAACAAAGTATTGTGTCAAGCGTGGGTTTTTGAAACTTTGTCCTGCTTTCTAAATTGCAGTTATACACAAACCTTTCCCACAAGGTAACCAGGTGCAGCAGGCTCGCGGCTGCCTTCTGGAAGCCTCTAGGGCAGCTAGGCAGACTAGCCCAACATCAGTGTCAACACACTTTGGGCAGACCCTGATGCATGCAGGGAACTCAGGGGCCTGTGGAGAGGCTGACTGGCGTGGCGGGGGCAAGGGAGTGGCCAGGCCGGAGGAGGGCACGGAGGGCCCGGCCTCAGAATCGGGGCCGATTTGGAAGGGCGGGCGGGGGAGGGGCGGGCCTGAAAGGAGGGGTAGCCCGGAAGAAGGGGACGGGGCCCGGGGTGCCCACGGAGGGCGTGGCAACGAGAAAGGGGCGCGGTGGACGGTGGCGCCTGTATGAAGGGGCGGGGTGGGGCCTGGTCTAAGGTTGGGCGGGCTCAGAGAGAAGCCCTGGACGGGTCAGAAGGCGGAGGGAACGGGACTGGACCGGGTCTGGAGGGCAGGACCTCAGAAAGTGGGCGGGGTTGGAGGGCGGGACATGGGTGGGCGTGCCCTAATGGGGCCGGGCTGCCCGCGGCCATGTTAAAGCTCCACCCTTTTCTTCTGGCGTTCGGCTGCGGCAGCTCCCTAAGGTAAGGCGGGCTCAGAGCAGAGCCCAGAGGACCTGGCCTGGGACCTGGCGCGGCCGCGGTGACCCGGGGCCTGTGGTGCGCAGACGCCGAGACCTGCGGCGCTGAGCGGGCCTGGAGCGTGGAGTCCGCGGCCCGGAGCCTGCGCCACCAATCCGGGCCTGGGACCAACCTCTTCCAGCCGCGCCCGTCCCTAATCGCATTAGCTTGAGCGTTCCCGGGGCGCCTGCCTCGCAACTTCCTGGGAAGCTCGGGTTGGTGGCGTGGCCACTGTACGGGTGCAGTGTTCTAGAGAGTTCCCGCGCTCTGGTGCGTATTCTGGTCGACCAGGCCTGGGACGGACAAGTCAAGGGGAGGGGGCTCGGGCGAGGGAGGAGGTGCGAGGGAGCTGGAGCTCAGTGATAATAGTTTAACTTGTACGCTATCCTTAGTAGGCCATTTCTGATTGGACCTTCAGAAAGATGGCACTTACTTGGTTTTGAAAATTAATAATAATTACTAGCACTTTTATGTGGGTGATGTTAGACCGAAAGATGAGCCGTTTATAGGCATCCGTTGAAAAATAAGTTAAATGAATTAAAACCCGGGCTTCTATAATAGGATCAACATACTAGAAAGAAAATAAAAAGCTGACTTTTCATTAGTTACGTGTAATTACCAATGATGGGAGTGGGAATTTGAAAATAAAAGTCCAACTTTGAGTCATTTCAGATGCAGGTTAGGCTTTACAGGCCTGGGTCTGGAAAAAGAAGACAAGGAAAAAATTAGTTTGAATGGGGACTACAGAAGCTTAATTTTTTAAAAAACATTTTATTATTTTTATTTTATGTGTATGAGTGTATTGCCTGCATGTATGTGAGTGCACCCATGTAGCAGAAGAGGGCTTCAGATTCCCCTGGAACTGGAGTTTAGGACAGTTTGTAGCCGCTATGTGGGTGCTGGGAATCTTAACCGGGTCCTCTGCTAGAGCAGTCAGTGCTCTTAACCGCTGAGCCATCTCTCCAGCCCCCAGAAGCTTAATTTTGTGTGTTGGGTTTACTAGCCTGTGCTGTTCCTTAATAAAAGGGTGCAGCAAGAAATATCAGTTCTGGCACTTTAGCTTTAAAAGTTAAATATGGAGAGAAGCAGATTTAGATTCTTCTACCTAGAAAATGTAGATGATATCTGGGAAACATGAGTTAGGGGGGAAGTGTGTGAAAAGAAAAAGGAGTAGGAGAGGGGGAGTAGAGTTTGGTGAAGACAAAGGCTTTGAATAAAGTAACAGTGATCAGTTAGTGCACTGCAGTCTTGAGCCAGTGGAGTGGTGCACCCTAGAAATAAAGGGGGATCAGAATCCAAGGAGTCTGAGAAAATAGGAACAAAAACCAGTGTAGGTTTAGTATCCCTTATTCAAGTGCTTGGGACCAGAAGTGCTTAGGATTCAGATTTCTGGCAGGTATTTCAGACACAGAATAATGAGGTGTCTTTAGCGTGGGACCCAAGTCAAAGCACAGAATTTATTTGTTTCTTATACATCTTACATGTAGCCTGAAAGTAATTTTGTCTATTTTAGATCTCAAAGTTTCATAGTGAGGAGTTTTCCACTAGTGCTGGCACTCAGAAAATTTCATATTGGGGAACATTTCAGACTGATGAGATTAAGGATGTTCAGCTTGTAGAGATACATGGAAAATTTTTTGAGACTTATAAGAAAGAATGGGTAAAAATGCAAAAAAAAAAAAACCCAAGAACCTTAAGATTTCTTTATAACATTTAACTTAAATAAGTAAAGAGAAGAACAATGAAATTTGACAATTTGGCCTTTGGAGAAATGGATGCTTTGTGGGGGAGTGGGAAAAAAGATTTCTGATTGGCCAGATATGTATCACACATGAGACTCTTCCTTCAAAGACTTACTGATATTCATAAACTTTGTAGGAAATTTGGATAATCACATTGGCACTGTGAAATTATTTAAGTTTGAGGGGAGCAAAAGGGATTATTTTGGTTTCGTTGGGTATTTACCCTAGACTCTCATCCCATTTCTCCCACAAAATCTGTTCTAGAACCTAAATGTGTCCGTGTCTGCATGCACACTTGTGCATGTGTGTGTGCATGTGTATGACCATAGTCTATTCTAGAACTTAAACATTGGGCAAGTGACAGTACCAGGTAGAGTTCATGTATAACTGGAATAGCAGCCGCTTTGGCATTGTTTCTTAGTCAGTTTTCTCACTGTCCTTTTCTATTTCATCAGCCCAGTAGTCCCTCAGTGTTCTCTTGCCCCCACATTCCCTATAACCCTTAGCTCAGGCCAGATCTGTCTCTCCCCTACTTTCTTAGAACCCACTGCCCAATCATGTTGTCATCTTGCTGGGCGGCTGACTGCATTTCATACTTCCAGATTACACTTTAAATCATATGTGATTTAATAGCTATTGTACATATATAATTTTGAAGCTTCTTACTCTCTTTTTTAAAAAAAACATTTTCCAGTGTCTTAAGTGTGCAGGGAATTATTTTAATGATCTCCAATCTCAACTTTGCCCAGGTTATTGTATTACTGATTTCTTCTTGTTCTTCAGGTCTCTCCCTTTTCAAACCTGCTTAATCAATACTTTCTACATTATTGTACCTGGTAGCTGCCACTCCTGGCCCTGGCTTCTTGTCACATGACCCTGTTGTTTCCAATTTCCTTCTTTACTAGGCAGCAAGCTCCCCAAAGCAGCAAAAGTGTCTACTCATCCTGAAGCAGCAAAAGTGTGTGCTCATTGGCAAACAAGTGTTTTTTACTAAACCCTGTATAAGTCTTGTGGCAAACAGATATAGTCATGCATTACTTAGCAGCTCTTACCCATTGAGAGCAACAGGTCCTGATAAGTGTGTTACTAAGAGAGTTCATTATTGTGTGAGCATCCCAGAACGAACTTAAACTAAATGGTACCTTGGCTATGAACATTACAACATGTTAATGTGCAAAATATGGCACTTCTAGCACCATGATAGCTTCTTGTGTATCTACCTACACATAGAAAAGGTACAATAAAATATTATATAAAAGATTTTTTAAAAACTAAAATTCCAGTGGAGAATACGTACCATGAATGGAACTTACAGGACTTAGAGTTGCTCTGGGTGAGTCAGTGAATGAGTACAAGTGAACTTGAAAGCTTAGGACATTACTATCCATAATTGATAGGCTTCATGAACAATTTACCCTAAATTTATTGTAAAGCATCTTATTCAATAATGAATTGATCCTAGCATACTTTAACTCCTACAAACCTTGTAGTTTTCAAAACTCTTTTACATTATACAGTAGTATGAAAATATTTTTATATCCTTATAAGCTTTTTTCTTATTTTTAATTCTTTTAAATTTCTTACAAAAACTAAAGCATAAACACACACATTAGCCAGGGTAGCCTGCACATGATCAGGATCCTCAGTAAGACTGTCTTCTACCTCCGCGGTTCATCCCACTGGAAGGTCTTTAGGGCAGTAACCTGCAGAGTCATCCTCTCCCACTATAGCAATGCCTTCTCCGTGAATGCCTCAAGAAGTGCCAGCCTAAGGCTCTTTTATTGGGAGGTAGGGTTGCTTAGTTTTCATTTTCATCCTAAACTTGATTATAAGCAACTAGTGCACCATGAGTGATGTCTTCATTGACAAAACAATATTTGTTTATTGTTTGGGCCCATGTTTTCATGAGGTTTGCAGAAGTTTCTGTTCAGCCTTTCTCTGAATGTTGTCCTCCCTTTTCTACAGCTCTGTGTTGTGTAAACTATGTGCTAGTAATTCTCAGCTGTGTTGTACTCTTGTGGGATCATTGTCAGACATGTAGTCTGTCCTTGACTGAATCCTCCCTATGCTGCCCACCTCTGTATTAAGGTGAACTGGGGGGCTGAGGTGAAAGGGTTGTGCCATCATTGGCTTTATCTCCCATGCTGCCCTGTTCTCAGGTAGACAGTCACCTACCTCAAAAGTAGACAATATCTCTCTTGAAAATATGTTAGCCTATATAACCTGAGTAACTTTTGCTGTGATAAAGTGTGTTCTGTTTATAATTCATTTGTTCTTTTCAAACCAACTGCCCTCTGGTGCAGACAAAAAAAACAAGTAGCAATTAGATAGGTAAATTTAAATTTCATTTTTTGTGTGTGACTCAGTGAAAAAAAGTAATTTGGTGCTGGCCGTGGTGGGAGCACATCCTTAATACTGTCACTCGGGAGGCAGAGGCAAGCGGATCTTTGTGAGTTCAAGGCCAGCCTGGTCTACACAGTGAGTTCCAGGCCAGCAGGGGCTACAGGGAAACCCTGTCTCAAGAAAAAAAAAGGAAAAAAAAAAAAGCCATTTGGCATAATACATTTCTTATTTTTCACATAGAAAAGTGAAAAATATAATCACCTATATCAAAATCATACAATATAGTTAGTGTATTATATCTAGTTTTCTTAGATTATACCCAGTGTTTTTCTTGATTTAAAATTGAAGTTAGTTTATAAAAAAGGTAATTGAGAAAAAAATGTAAAAGCTGTTTTTAAGGCATTCTACCAATATTTAAAAAACATTTTAACCATGTTTCTTCAGGCCAAATGAAAATTTTTTATTTAGAAGTAAGAAACAAAGAACATAGGAAATATACTACTTCTGGTTTCTTAAAATAGATACATAACACTGTAGAATGGTACAAAAACTACAAACTAATTTATAAATTTCTCATACTATGTAAGAAGTTCAAAAAAATTATTCATCAATTCAAGAAATACAGTAATTATTAAGTACCTCATACATACCTGACATGCTCAGAGTGCCATGTTTTAAGGAAGCAGACATTGTTTTTACCAGGCTCAAGGAAACAAGACTTCATTGTAGAATAATTTAGCAGATTTTATTCCTTAGTCTCATTTGTATGTGTATAAAAATTAGTGTCTGTAGCTGTAGTTACTGTTTATTGAGCATGAATAACTGAAATTTATATTAACATGTTATAGAATAGTTTGTCATCTAAGAGTTAATATTTTAGGTTAATAACAAAGCTATCTATGAACAAAGGATAATTTCTCTATGTATAATTATCCTAGCTACCCAGTCCTATAGAATTAGTCACTGGAATAGCTTCAAAACAGAATTCTTAAAGATTATTAGAGAGGCTGGACAACAAAGCAACTAAGAGTAGCAAGCTGTGAAGAGAATTTAACTGCCCTTTGGATTGGAACAAGCTAGCCACTTGAACTGAGAGGTTGAAGGGGTCCCTTAAAAAATTTTCTTCAAAAAAAGAGCAGGTCGGATGTCAAACTGCCTAAGTTCAAATCAGAATTTTCCAATGTAGAACTAAGTATCTGGATTTAATGGGGGGATTACCTAAAGACAAGATTGAAATTATTCTCATTTAGAATTTTGCAAAGACATTTCCAGAATTAGATTTTTATGATTATGGTTACATGGATTTCAAAGAGAAGTCCTAAAGTAGTGCCTAGTCAGCACACAGCTGTATCTCCGAGACCACCAGAGTGCTAGCACCTGTCCCCAGTGCTGAAGCTTTTTGTTTTGTGGACAAGACCTATCACGTTACATTGTAATGCAGTGCTTCTAGGGATGGGAAGGAAATCTTTCTTGAGAGGTGCACATTAGAATCACTTTGATTCTTCTCTGATTAGTAGATACTTATAATAAAAAGATAGGTTTTCAAATTTTCTATCCATTTTCTATTGAAAGGTAATAAATATGTGATATTTTACACATGTTTAAAATGATCTTTGTTGGAAAACTAAAAAGATATTTTTGGAGAGAAAAGGATTTAATTGCCAAACTTCAGATTTTCCTGACAACAGCTATTCTATTGATTCACAGCTAACAGGGTTGTGTTTACTTGTTGGTTTGTTTTAAAGGGCAAAGTATTGACCAAAAAATATGTCACTTTCTCTCAGAAAACCATAGGATGAGTAATTTGATGTGGCTAATCATATTGGGAAATACGATACTGTAAGTGTTCAGTATCTCCTGAACCATGGTAGTCAGTAACTTGAGGTCTTTTGCAAAGAATTTGGGGTAGTCCACACTAACAAAACGTTTAACATATTAGTGATGATATACCAAGGTACTAAGATCTTCCAGAAACAAGTGTAGCTACCACACATGTGGGTATGAAAACAGTTGTGTTTAGAAAATTGACCTGAAAACAGTTTTGTTTCAAGGTTTTTGGGAATTCAAACGCCTTTGGAAATTAATGAGATTAATCTTTGCCGGCAGAAGAATGGCACTGAAGCAGATTTCCAGCAACAAGTGCTTTGGAGGACTGCAGAAAGTGTTTGAACATGACAGGTAACTATAAAGAAGACACAAATTTAGGTATCTCTCATTCAACTTTGTTATAGTTTGTTACGGTTTTAAATAGAACTTTGACTTGTAAACCTGCTTTCTCTGTCTCCCCATCTTCCCTTGTCTATTTGGCAATTTCACCAAACTTAATTGGTTATGGACCCTGTGAGGTGATGATGAGTCTGAACACACTCTCTTCAAGCTCTGATTTGATGGTCTTCTAGAATTTAGTGAAAATGCCCACATTGCCATTAAAAATTCAAGGGAACATCTTCCTCATAGGTCTCTTAATGTAAAAAGAAGGGCTTAAAAATGATTCTTTCTGTAGAAAACAGTATATTTTAAAATGAAATAGAGATCTTTTTTAAGGTTAAAAACTCATTCAATTTTATGTCTTACAGGGTTTATATTCAGTTCAGTATTGTATAACTGTATTAATTCAACTGTGAACCTAAAAATTTACAGCCACTTTTGAAAGAGATGTATCCTTGCTCTGGAGAGTGTTACTGAATATGTTAAAGCTGCAATGAAATGCTTCTTCTAATCATGTGGTTATTAAATAAATTTAAGAAGGGGGGGGCTGCAGAGATGGCAGCTAAAAACGCATGTATTTGCCTCTGCCAACTTCTAAAATCTGACTAGCATGACGGTATTAAAGCCTTAAATACACTGCACACATGTAGGCAGGGGGGCAGGGTAGGAATTAGGAACAATATTTTAGAAGCCAAAGTACTAATGACTAGGTACTTAACTTAGCAAAACCTAGAAAACTGAATTCTAAGTAGAGAAGTGGCATAATTTATATAAATCCCTAGGAGTTGGAAGTAAGCTGTATCTGGAGTTCAGAGAAAGGATGATTGATTTAAATTTTATTTTAAAAATCAGATCTGAAATTGTCCAAACATTCTGTATAGTCAGACTGCCGCCTCCCCAACTCTGACCATAGATTTGAGGGTTAGTCTTGAGGGAAGGTAGAGCTTTTGTACTGGGGAAAACCAGACAAAATGTATGAGAGATTAAAATAAAACTAGTAGATTAAACAAAAATTGGCACGCACATACACTAGCTTCTAAAATTTGAGAAATTAGGCTTATATTCTTTCAGAAAAAAATTTCTTCTTGTAACTTCGCCTACCTCAAAAAGTGTGAACAGATCTTGTGATGGAGACTTGTTAATAAAATAATCTAGCTGGGGCTAGAGAGATGGCTTATTGGTTAAGAACACTGGCTGTTCTTGGGGAGGACTGAGGTTCGATTCCCAGCACCCACATGGCAGATAACAACCATCCCTAACTCCAGTTCCAGGGGAATCCGATGTCTTCTTCTAACTTCCTTGGGCATTACATAACACACAGGTACACTTACAGACATGCTAGCAATATATTCATACATAAAATAAAAATAAATAAAATAGTCTAGCTGGACATCATTCAACAGTGATTGATGGACTCAACAGGTACACTGCTCTAACCCACACTTTTAGTGTTTAGCTCTGAAATAGTAGAAGATGATTAAAGATCTCAAAATATTTGCATAAAGCCTCAATTTTGGAAGACACATGCTTAGGGAAGAGAAAGGCATTGGAGGAAATAGACTGCAGTACACAGTCTTCAACAGTACTGCTCTAATGTCAAAGGCAGAAGAAAAGGTACTGACCTTGGACAGTAGTGGAGAGCACTATTAAAAGTATTCAAGAACAAAATTGCCAGAAAATTGAAAGCAGAACTGACAAAACTCAGTTGAATTTTCTGGAAAATAGAACAAGACAAACTTAGCATATCAGAAAGGTAAGAAAACTAGAAGACCACTCTACAAAATTCAACAGTAAGTGTTAAGGATTTTGAAAACTAAAACAAAATGGTGTGAATATAAAGAATAAAGGCATAATTCTAGGGCTGGGGAGATGGCTCAGCAAGTAAATACACTTGTGGCATTTGCTACCAAGCCTGATGACCTGAGTTCTTTGATCCCCAGGACCTACATGGTGGGAGGAGAGAACTGACTCCCACAAGTTGTCCTCTGACCTCCACATGTGTTCCACGGCATGTACACCCCCACATATGTACACAAACACACAATAAATAAAATATAGTAAGAAGTAATTATAGAATTCTTAAACTGAATGGTTTGTCAGATTGAAAAAGTTTTCTTGTACTAACAGTACTATGAGGTATCAGAGCATTGGGAACAAAGAAAATTCCCAAACATTCAGAGGAGGAAATGGATTAAGATTTTTTGAAGATACAGATACGCTCATGAGCCATACCAGAATCTCGAAGACAACAGTGAGCCAGTCATGGTGACACACACCTTTTTTTTTTTTTTCAGATGTTTTACAATCTTTAATTTTTTTTTAATGCTTTGAAGAATTATTTTTTTTAATTTAATAACCACATGATTAGAAGAAGCATTTCATTACAGCTTTAAAATATTCAGTAACACACTCCAGAGAAAGGATACATCTCTTTCAACAGTGGCTGTAAGTTTTTAGGTTCACAGTTGAATTAATACAGTTATACAATATTGAACTCAGTATAAACTCCAGGAAAGGTGCTGGTATTTGAAGATACAGATAGGTTCATGAGCCATACCAGAATCTAGAAGACAACAGTGAGCCAGGCGTGGTGGCACACACCTTTAATCCCAACACTGGGGAGGCAGAGGCAGGTAGATCTCTGTGAGTTCAAGGCCAGCCTGGTCTACATAGTGAGTTTCAGGCCAGCTGGGGCTACAGGGAGACCCTGTCTCAAAAAGACAGAAAAAAAAAATAAAAAGAAGAGGAAAAAGAAAGCAGTGGCTGGGCATGGTGGTACACACCTTTAATCCCTGCACTGGGGAAGGCCGAGGCAGATGGAGTTCTATGAGACCCAGGCCAGCCTGGTCTATATAGCAAGTTCCAGGTTAGCTGGGGCTATAGGGAGACCCTATCTCAACTCCTCAGGCCACCCCCCCCCCAAAAAAAAGAGGACAGTGGTGATGCCTAAATTCTGAAGGATGATGCCAGGAATGCCATGTCATATAATCACTAAGAGAACCAAATGAAGAGATTTTTCACGTGTGCAAATATATTTCCCATGTAGCTCTTTTCTGGAAGAAACTGGGCAGCATGATTCACCAAAACGAGGGAGTAGAGTAAGAAAGCTGAAAACATGAAATCAGGAAACTGCAGAGTAATTTCAAGCTGAGTGCAGAGATACTAAGAGCAGCAGGTCACAGTAGCATAACAGTAGCCAGTTAGTCACATGCAGCCATTCAAGTTTAAAAATTCAATCCACTCTGAAAGCTGCTGTGCTGATCAGTATAGGCATGGAGCATTGTCATCGTAGAAGGATTTATTGGACAGAATTCGTTTAATGTAAAGAAAGCGAAATTGGTAGCATTGACTGTTTCAGAGGAAGTCTATGACATCCCATGGTGAGAGGACTGCTAGTGAACTGAATCTATGTTCCCATCATACTTTTGTGGAGCTGATCTTGGGTGAGATGCTGTTTGGTAATTGAGCAGCACCCTAATGACAGGAAAGGGACAGAAGCTTCAGAAGGTGACTTGATGTGTAAGCTTTAGCTATAAATATTAATTGTGCTTCAGACCTGAGTTACTCTACAACTGTTTGAGATAGATCTTTTTTCTTCTTTTTTAATGGTAAGAACATTTAATATGAGATCTAACCTTTTGACAGTTTTTTTTTTCCTTTGCTATTTAATTTGGGTCTTTTTTTCTTTATTTTAAGACATGTTTTTATCATTCTTAGAAAAAATTTAAGTGTGTAAGAAAGGCCTTATAGGAAGATGGGGGCGGTGTTTTTAAGATCCCATTGTATTAGTCCAAGTTAGCCTAGAACTCCCAATCATCCTGCCTGGGCATCCCAAGGGTTGGGATTATAGGTCTGACCACTACACCTGGCTTGAGAAAGGTGCAGCTATCCCCTAAAAAGATAGTGTTCCTCCAGCTTTGCCAAATGATAATAAATAGTCTAGAATTGGACATGGATCTGAGATGTTGTATCATGAAAGGAATGTCTCAATTTCCTAACAATTCAAGACTTAACTGATACCAGGAACTTACAAGGTATTTTAAATAGAGTAGAAAAATTACATCAAACACTTGGGAGAGAGGCAGACAGGGACACAAAGTGAGTTCGAGGCTAGCCAGAATGCCAGGACTATGGAAAAAGACCCTTTTTCAAAAAAATAAAACGAAGGATGCAGTGGAAGGGGAAAGAATGTGGAGACTAACAGCAGCAAGGTGAAGTAACTAAAATTTGGCCATAATGAGAAATTAGTAGGTAATAACCACAAAGTCAGGAAGCCTAAATTACTGTTTGAATGGGAAAACACTTAAAAGTTTTGATCAAAACTCTCTAGTTGCAGAAAGTAATTGTAATAAAATATTAATGATGAAAGAGGAAATTAAGTCTGTAGTACATTTCATCCCATAGCAAATATGGAACTGAAGATCCATGTTTTTGGAATTCATTTTTTATAAAAGCTGATTTGACATATCTCATTAGAAATCAAGACTGTAAATAGAAGTGTTACATTGAAGGGCTGGAGAGATGATGACTCATTGTTAAGTGCACTGGCTGCTCTTGCAGAGGACCCAGGTTTGGTTCCCAGCACCCACATGATGCCTACCATCCAAAACTCTAGCTCCAGGGGATCCAACACCCTCTTCTGACCTCTATGGGCACTGTATGACACAGGTGCACTTACATGCATGCAGTCAATACACTCATACACATAAAATAAAAATAAATGAATAATTTTTTTTAAAAAAAGAAGTGCTACATTGAGAATTTTTTTTTTTTTTTAATTTACACTGCCTCAAATGACTGCTCAGATTGAGCAATAGATCAATGTGCTAAGCTGGCTCCATTCTTTCTTTGAGGAGCAAAGCATATTCCTTAAATGCTGGTACTTTGAATGTTAACTCATGTATTTTAGACCCATGCTATATAATCCTCCTTTTTACATAATGCTAAATTATTTGTTTCTGTCCTGATTGATAAGGTGGATTAATATTTTATTGTGGTTGTTGTTAAAATTGCAGTATTGAGCTGAAATGCAAAATGAAATTCGCTGTCTACCTACCTCCAAAGGCAGAGAGTGGGAAGTGTCCTGCACTGTACTGGCTCTCTGGTAAGTATTATACTTTTGAGTTTTTAAAGAATGTCTTACTTTTTATTTTGATCTACTAGTATACTTTCGGAATCACTATATAAAGAACTTAAGAGGCTGTCATACTCTATTTTGTAACTTTATCTTGAGAATAATTTTGGATTTAGGGAATTAAATTTTTATTTCCTTTTCAATTAGACCAAGTAACTCAGCTGAGATTGTAAAGTTTATATGTAATTTGTACCTACCCAAGTATTTCTGGAGTTTGTAAAGACTTTACCAGCCAAATAATACAGTATTGCTGATTAGAAACCACAGAGCAACCTCCTAGGAAGCAACTTCCTAGGTAGTCTCTGTACAGTGAACTCCATAGAGCACCTCTGGTGGCAGTTTGTGGTTAATATTCCTAATCAGACTGTAGAACAGATTGCCGGAGATGGACATGAGTAGTTCTGAACCCCTGTGCTAATTTCTCTTTCATAAAATATTGCTACTTCATCTTTAGAAATAAAAAATAAGGAAAAAAAATCATAGTGTAATTAGCTATAATTCATAAAATTAGCTCCTAATAATGTTAACTAATCAGGCCATGTGTAGTTCATCAAGGAGAATCCCTAAATACCCATCTTTGAAAATAAGAAAATATATTTTAAAATTAAAAGTTCAGTGCAAATTTTATTTTACCACAAAAAGCACTTCTGTGATTAAATGAAGTACACTGATTTTATTAGAAGAGCATTAGACGTTGCCAACAACAACAAAATTAGATTCTTGATTCTTTTAGAAAGGATACTGTCTTTGGTGAGATGCTGAAGAACAGAGAGACATTTCCCAACATTTTGATTTTAAGTCTTGATTTTCTGAAGAAAGATAATTACCTGAATCCTGCACTATGTCTAGGATACAGTTCAAGGAACACTACATATAATCATATATGATCTTCCTATGAGGAAGAAGGAATCAGTTCTGTCCTGTTTTTCAAATGAAAGAATGGAGGCACCATAAGTGATTAAGTAATACTTGGTACCGGATCTTGTCTGAAACCCAGAACCCATGCTTTGTACCCACTTACCCTCCTCCTTTGACCTTGCTCTCAGTGTCAAGGGCAGTTCATCATGACATGACTCTACTATCTCTGGAAAATGAACTAGGAAGAACCGTAGAGGGTAGTAATGTTGTAGTGTTCTCTCCTGTAACTGCTAAAAGTCTGTAGATCCCAACAGAACTTAGCTCTAAACTACAATGATACTTGTAACATTACGTCTTATTAATTTAACAATGTTTATGAGTAGCTGTAGTCTCTGTTCTCTCATGTTTTATAGTTACTTTGTAGCACATACTAATCATTAACCTTCAGTGTTGCTGATTACCAGATATTTAACAGTGACCATTAGAAAATGACTGTCTTGTTAGACTGTTTAGGTCAGATATCCATTGCTAGTTCACTTTTGGCCACCCTCACATTGTAGCCTTGGGCACCTATAGAAAGATATTCTTATCATAAATGGAGAACACAAATCTAGGGAAGGAAAATGGGGCTAAAACTAAATTGAAGGAAGGCAGATGGTCACTTTTTAGGTCACTAATGAATAAAAAGATGATTAAGGTAAATTTTATTCCTAAGAACTACATGTACCATAAAGAGTATTTTGTGTTATGATGGCCAGAGTATTAGCTAACTTATTGTCAATATTTAGGATTTGATGCAGAAATAGTCTAATAGTTACATGTCTAGTTAGCATATTTGCTAACACCTCACTGGGGTTGTTTTAATATTGGTCATACGTCCCATATTGCTATGGTACAGGTTAAAAATTCTGAATTCCTAATACATCTAACCTAGAAGCTAGAATTGTCATACTTAAAACCTTAATGACTTGAAAAGATGGTTGTAGGATCAGTTAAACTAAAATAGTTCTTAGCTCAATACTGTTGTGAATTTTGGAAGAAGGGTACCATGATGTGTTACCCAAAATTATTTCTAAAGCTGAAAAAATTTTTTTTAATAATTCTGAGCTTATTTTCCTGTATTATAAGATTAAAGTTTATAAAGTATTCACAGTACATGACATAACAATATTTTTCATTTTCAGGTTTAACTTGCACTGAACAAAATTTCATAACGAAGTCAGGATTTCACCAAGCTGCCGCAGAGCATGGCCTTGTCATCATTGCCCCAGACACCAGCCCCCGTAAGTGACTTGTTCCAGAAATGCTTTATAAACACCTAAATCTTTAAGTCTCATTTATAAGTGGGATAGTATTCATCATACAATTCATCTTGAATCCTTCTTGACAACTAAAATACCATACTGTGAACAAATTGGGAAAATAGGATGAAGGATTCCAGAGTATGTTAGGGCACATTTTCAGGTCAAGATAGTGACTTGAACACAGTCACCTGTCTCCTCTTTAAGGTCATCATGGTAAAGAGAATTAGAGGCTGTGTCTATAATTGGGAAGGGTCATTAGGGAAAGGATCTCCATAGGGTTCTGAAAGATATAGAGGATATAAGCCCTTTGTAATGGAGTATGGATGTGTATTTTCAAAATGCATAGGAGGAACTTCAACAAAGAAAGCTAGGGCAGCTTATCTTGTCCCATGAATTCTCCAGTTTGGAATGTCATTCCTTCTTTCACCTCATTGGCCAGAGCTAGTACATGTCCCATTCATGAAAAAAGAGATCAGAAAGTTTAGTCCCACCATGTGTAGAGGAGAGCTCATAATATTTTTCCAACAGCTCTAATGGACTTGCTATTTAACTAAAAGTGGTGGTGGGAGCTGGGTAAGGAAATCTCACTATGTAGCTTAAGCTAGCCTGGAACTTACTATGTAGCCTAGGCTAACCTTCAGTGGGCCTCCTAAGGACCTCAGTTGAGATTTTTGTCAGGTACCACCATGCCCAACTAATAGTAGGTTCTTAGACATGGGGAATTGCCTAGAGTTGATGAAAGCACATGTCTTTCCCTGCTAGGTGGCTGCAATATTAAAGGAGAGGATGACAGCTGGGACTTCGGCACTGGTGCTGGCTTTTACGTGAATGCCACTGAAGAGCCCTGGAAAACTAATTACAGAATGTACTCTTATGTAACAGAGGAGGTGATTTCATTTGTCTTGTAATTATTAACTGATGACCAGTAAGAGTTTGATTTTAGGCACAAAGTCCTCCCAGACCTGAGTATTTTAATGTAGGGTATGATATTGGTAAGTCTATCTAGGGGAAAATTCCAAGATTTACTAATTATTATAGTTACATTAATTAATTAGTTAAATTAATAGTAAATGCTGATTTAAGGATTTTTTTTGTTTTGTTTTGGTGGTTGTGGTTTTTTTGTTTAGTTTTTCGTTTTTCTGAGACAAGGTATCACTATACAGCCCTGACAGGCCTGGAACTTGCTGTGTAGACCAGTCTTGAACTCACAGTGACCCACCTGCCTGCTTCCCGAGTGCTGGTACTAAAGGCATGCACCACCATGCCTGGCAAATTTAAGGATTTTTGTAATTATATTCAAATATTTTATTATTTTTATTTTATGTGTATAAGTGTATTACCAGCATGTATGTAAGTGCACCAGTGTCACAGAAGTCAGAAGAGGGGGCATCAGATCTACTGGAACTGGAGTTACAGACAGTTGTTAGCTGCCACATGGGTGATGGGAACTGACCAGGTCCTCTGAAAGAGTAGCCAGTGCTCTTAACTGCTGAGCCTCTCTCCGGCACTTATAATTATATTCAGGTCTGTGCACACTACCCAGGTTACTAAAGAAAATAGTGTATGAAACCTTTCATTTCCTGGGTCTGATTTATTCAGATATATGTACAGCAGTAATCAAAGTCTTGATTAGAAAGGGCAGGTGAG